TTTTTTTTGAGACAGGGTCTCACTGTGTAATGCAGGATGGCCTTGAACTTGCTTATGTAATCTAGGCTGGCCTGGAGCCCACAGTGATCCTCCTGCCTCAGCCTCCTGAGTGCTGGGATTACAACTTTGTGCCACCATGCAAAGCAATTATTTTTATCCATGCCTGTCGTTCTTATTAGATTGTGAGCTTTCACATTTTGGTGTTTTTTTTTTTTGTTTTTTTGTTTTTTTTAGCTTTCACATTTTGTATGTTTGTGTTCTCATTTTGTAGATTCATTATGCAGAAATTCTCCCAAATGTATCTCCTACGAACAAGGGTGTGGCATCACATAACCACAATATACTACACTCAGGAGGATTTCAACATGTGTGGTGGAGAACACCTATAATACCCGCTGTTCAAGGGGCAGAGGCAGGAGGTCCAAATTCAATTCCAGTTTTGGGAGCCAGACGTGGTAACACAAGTCTATAAATCCCAGCACTCTGGCAGGCTGAGGCAAGAGGGATACAAGTTGAGCCCAGCCTGGGCAATATAACAGTTAAGCAAAATCTTGTCTCAAAAACAAAACCAGTATAAAATATTATAAAGGTGCTGGGGATATAGCTCAGTGGGAAGGCCTTGGGTTTAACCCCAGTACAAGTGGGCAAGGATGGAACCAGGCATGGTGGCATATATATAATTCCACCAGGTCAACAGGGGCTATGTGGTGAGTTCAAGGTCAGTCTGAACTACATGAGACCCTGCCTCAAAAAAACCAAATTAATGGCACAAACCATGAAAACAAAATACACATGCTCCTTCACTCAGTCAGATGGGATTATATCCTGATAAATCCACCCTACACTGAAAATGGCACTAAGTCACAAGTGTACTTAACACTCCTAACCTGCAGCTCACTAGCGGTACAGGACTTGACGGTGCAGACATCAGCTGCTCCCCTCGTGACTGTGGCTGACTGGGAGCGTGGGCTTGAGGCTGAGGCCAGATTCTCCAGGGTAGGGCACTGCATGTCACCAGCACAGGAAAAACCAAATCTCACGTTGTTGGGAGTGCAAGTGTACACCTGTGACCCCAGCTACTCTGGAGGCTTAACAGGACAATGTTAAGTTGGAGGCTAGCCTGAGCAACTTATTTTTTCTTTTTTTTTTTTTGGTACCGCTAATCAAACTCATGACCTTGCGCTTGCCAGGCAGGTGCTGTGCCGCTGAGCTAAATCCCCAGCCCTAGCCTGAGCGGCTTGGCAAGACCACATCTAAAAATAAATTTAAAAGGCTGGGTGTGATGGAGCACGCCTATAGTCAAAGCAAAGATGATCACAAATTCCAGCCAAGCCTAGGTAATATGGTAACTGAGACTTTGTCTCAACATAAAAAGTAGGCCAGGTGTGGTGACACACACCTACAACCCCAGCACTCAGGAGGTGGTGGGAGGATTGCCATGAGTTTGAGGCCAGCCTGAACTGTGTAGTTAGCAAGACTGGCTCAAAAAACCAAAAATAAATAGGCTGAGGATGCAGCTCGGTGCGCAGCCCTTGGATTCCATCCCCAATCTCTCTCACATACACACACACACAGGGTAGGGATCTAGTGTGAAGGGCACTGTATGTGCAAGGCCCTACGTTCAGCTTCCCACCCCACACGCACATGAATACACATGGGGCCCTCAACGTTCCAAGGTAGTCTGCGAACAAGTACGGCTTCCAGGCCTTGTAAACCTGAATCGTGAGTGAGTACGCTATACTTGGAAGGGACCTTTAAACTAATGGTCAGGAGCTATCGTTAGCCTACGCAGGTAAAGAAAGGAGCTGTACATTAGAAGGTATAGTATGGAAACAAAAACCTGCCACACAGATTGTTTTTGGTATTTTTGAGACAAGGTCTCGCTATGTAGTTCAGGCTGGCCTTAAGCTCACTTTGTAGTCCAGGCTGGCCTCGAACTCACGATGATCCTCCTGCCTCAGCCTCCCAGGTGCTGAGATTACAGGCGTGTGCCACCACGCCCGGCTGTTTTTTCTTTTAACCCCATAAAAATTATTATTCAAGAATTCTGGCGTGGCAGGACAGTGCACATTTGTAGTCCCAACTGAGGATAGGACGGGAGGAAAAAAATGTCAGAATCTGACACAGAACTCTGCCTTGGGAGTACACTAGTACAAGGTAGCTTTCAAGATGGAACTGCTGCCTTCTGATAGCAAAGCTCCAATGGACATTGAGCCAGCAGTGTGTGGAAAGGTACAGAAGCCAGTGTGCAAGCCTAGGGATCAGTGTGCTCAGGGCCGGCAACCAGTATGCAAAGCTTACATTTGCACATTTCCATGGTGATTCAGCTCCCTTTCAAGGTAGCTGAAACCACAGGCCTGATAAGGTTTTTAAACTGTTTTGCTTATTCTCACTTTTTTTTTGTGGTACTGAGGACTGAACCCAGGGAGCTCCAAACTGCATCCCCAACCCCTACTAAAACAAGGTCATACAACCCTCCTGGAGTAGCTGGGGTTACAGGTGTGTGCTCGTCTCTGGATCTCAGCTCCTTTTGGGCGAAAAGGAAAAGCACTGAAACGCTAGAATAGACCTCATCAAAACTTTTGTTATTCTAGGACCTTTGTCACAAAGGAGTGGGGGGGGGATGGAATAATGCTGTAGTGAACACCCAATACATCCACATTGGGACTCTAAAAAGATCAGGACAAGGATTTTATCTTTGCAATTAAAGGGCTGATGTAGGATTCCAAGTTTGACGCCAGCCTGGGCAAATCATTGTGAGCCTGTCTCAAAATACAAAATGGGCTGGGATCTTTAGGAGGAATGGTGTTGGTAACCCCAGCATTTAGGAGGCTGAGGCAGGAAGATCTTGAGTCCAAAGCCAGCCTGGACAAGAGCCTATTTTAAAAAAAGAAAAAAAAAAAAAAGCTGGCGATGTAGCTCAATGGTTGAGCACCCCTACGTTCTTAACTCCAGTATCACAAAAGAAAAAAAGTACAGGCATTACTCAAGAAGTGCAACAAAACATTTAATCAAAACCCCAATGGTCAGGGGATATATAGCTCAGCAGCACAGTGCCTGCCTGAAAAACCCAACACCCCTATGCCAGGTGCAGGCCTGTTATCCCAGCCAACAAGGTAGGAGGATCACTACAAACTCAAGGCCAGCACATTTCAAAATACAAAACAAACAAAACCCAACACCTCTAATTTAAATGAAGAGCTATCCTTTGTTTTAAGGCAAATCAGCCTGGTGGGGATTTTGCTTTCAATTCACCTACATACATCTGCTCCAATGATGACTTCCCTAAAAGGGGGAAGAAAGTGTCAAGGAGGAAAGACCCATACCACACCTTAATTTGAAAAGATTTATTTTTTTTCCTCAGGAAGAACAGGAAGTTAGAGAAAGATACTACATTTTACAGCTCATTAATTTGTAGTTGGTCCTAATCTTTCCTGGCACAGCTGTGAAAAACAGCTGTTTAACCAGAACCAAGGTGTCCACCCCTCCCAATAGAATGTATCACCACCACTAGAGGACTGCGTGTTTTTTCCCTGAGAGAAACACAAGACAAATAGAAGTCACTGAGAGCTATCCAAGCAGCCCCTCCCTTTCCATTTTGGAAGATTCTGTCTGAACTATATAGCCAGTCAGCACTTTGTAAGACCACATGCCTCTTCTTCCTGTAAATCAACTGTAGTCCTCCACCCTTCCCCCACATCCTTTTCCCCAATTTCTCAGGCTCTGTAAGCCCTCACTGCCCTGGACCCAAAACACCCACTGAGATCCTACTTACACTTCAGCCTCACACCAGTCAACTGGGAAGTGAAGCTCCTGCACACCAATTTACACTCATCTCACAACTGGGTATGGGAAGAGAGGTTTTTTTAGTCACCTTAACCAGATCGTAAGATTAAAAACTACATAAAGTGCTTTTAGGTTAAGAGAGACACGATATAAATAAGTGGTTTGTGATCAAGGAAGACAAATACATAGGTAAAAATAGCTCTAGCAAGACAACTTTATGGCTCCAAGGAGGACAGGCAGGGTAATCCTTCCCTATTACATTCTTAGTCACTTTATTCATGCCTATTTTTATCTGGAGTGCAGACTAAAGGTCGCATAGAGACTGAAGCTTTCAAATAACCCTAGCTGCAACACAGCAGCTTTCTTCAGTTTACCAGTAGCTTTTATGTAACTCTCAGGATCAACACAGCCCATCTCTTTCTAGAAATTTAAGTGAGCATATTCAAATGCAAGTATTGTAGAGAAAGCCATGTTATCTCTTCTGAAAATTCCTAAAAGAATTTTTGAAACCTTCCTTCCAAAAACAGGATAAATCAACTGCAAGGATACCAAGGAAGAGGGAGTCCCTCCCACCCCCATGACTGTTACCGTCAGAACACCCACGGAGGTGTCCCTACCTCCCAAGGGATAAAATCCATGATGGCTGAAGGTCTGTTAACTGGGTGGGGGGGGGTGGGCTAATTAGGTTCCCAGTAGGGGTGCATAGTGCTGAAAACTAAAAGGACAAGTAAGAGTTCAAACAGGGCAGAATAATGATGTAGAGATGGATGTAAGTATCTGTACAGGGAGCAGGACTAGCAGCATATATTTCAAAGGACAGGAAATACAGTAAATTCAGATCTGATCTGAGACCCAGAGATGCCAATGCAAAAATTCAAAACAAAGCTTGGGAATCATTAATAGAAAAGAAACTTGTTAAGAATTTCTTTTATTTGCATACTAGGCTTAAACCTGTATTTAACAAGCAAGCCCAGTATTAGCACCGTTAGACGATGGCCTGCTTTTGCAAGCCATCATTTTACAAATTAAACAAGGAATCAAATGTCTCTCACACACAATGCTCACTTGGAACAGCTGAAAATTTTTGAATGTAAGCTTTAAAGATGAGCTCATGAACTCAGTTTTAAGTTGTACCAGTTAAATTAGATCAAATTTAAGAACTCGAAGTTGTCTAATCAGAGCCTATTATTTTTATGACCATCAGCCCACCCTCCCCCAGAATCCATTTTATTTATCAAAATCAGACTGGAAAATTAAACCCTGCATAGTTATGAATCAGATTTGTTCCAGTACAACCAGGCTGCATACACGTAACACAGTTCTACATACACTCTAGAACTGACCATGACAAAGTTCTGAATAGAAAAGCTGTAAGAAAGATCCCTAACTACAGAAGTTGCAAATTTCAAAAGGGTATGAAAAAAACTACTGTAAATTTGGGATATACTTTTATGTCCAAATACTTTCTGTAAAAATATATACAATTTTTACAGACAAATACAAGTTGCTTTCGTTTTAAAAATTGGGACTATTCCATGTTGCTGTTGTTGGTCTACTCAAGAAATACACCAGGAAAGTAAATTATAGAGGAAAAGCTACCCTTCACACGCTGTTCTACAGTACTGAGGCCTGTGGTCAGAGTTCAACTCCTTGTAGCTTAAATCCGTTTTACACGTCACGAGCATTGTTAGTGCTTCTCTTTTAACACTAGGCAATTGATGATTTGCTGGCACATTTAATGACTTCTATGACTAACTAGCTACTTACTGGCCACTCCTCTGGTTCTAGAAAAGAAATCAAGTCTTTCCACCCTATCATCTTCACTAAATCTGGAAGTCTTTCACGGTCTCTCCCAGTTTTGTTTGTTGCTGAAACTGCACTTTGCTTCTTTCACTGTGACTCTTGAAGGGGACTACTTTTCCCATTACTGGTAGCCATAATTTTCTTGCGAAATGGCCTCTTTGACGTTGCTGCTTGGACAGTTTCAAGCCCAAGTACTTTGATTTCACAGAAGTATATTGTTTTGGTGCCTGGGGTTGTTTAACAGTCAACTATTGCACTTACAAGGCTATCTTATTAGATATGCCAAACCAGCTCCTACTCCAGCAACACCTGCAAAAGCCAGCAGCACATTTCTGATGCCGCCTTCTAGATCCTCTACATGGAAGAACTCCACAAACCCATCCTAGAAAAGAAAAAAGAGAAGCACATTTTCAAGTATGGGTTTCTACTGTCTCAGTAACACAATATACAGAGAAATGATGAATTAACCAGCTAAGGTATTCCCCCAAACAATGACAGTCCAATTATTCTTATACTGCAAAACACAGCAAAATTCTGGCATCCTTCAGTAAGTGGGCACCCAGAGAATTAAAACGTAGTTTCACTGAAATACCTGAGCATATCAGCATAATCTCAAAGAATTCCCATTAGGTACAAGCCAAAAGTCTTCACTACCCTCAAATCTCTACTGCCTGATTATCCCAGCTGCGGAGATTAGCATTTCTCAGTGTGGTTAGGTACACATCCTGCTTCAGTTATCTGGGTGTTAACGCTTACAATGCAGGCTCCACCCCATATATACACATAACTGAGGGGCCCCATAGAAATATCTTCTAGTTACCATCCCCAAGTGACTCTTATTTCTTCATGGTTTAAATCCACAGGTCTGAAGATTATCCAACTGAATTACAAGAACTACCTACAGAAAACCAGGGTTTTTGATACACATCACTTCTCTATGAAACCACTACTTAATTTAACACAAGCAACCAGAGGTCTGCAGGTAAAGCCTGGAGACTGGGTTAAGTGTCACAAAAACCTTCCGATTACTTCTAGCTTTCCCAGAAACGCCTTCATTCCATTTCCACTCCAAGATCCCCTTCACCCACAAACTGAACTTACCCAGCCTCTTTGTTTGACTAGCCAGTCCCTTTTTGTATGTACGAGAACATCTGTGATACTTTCTGCTAAGGGTTCGATGCAGCTTTCTTGGTTTATGCTCTTCAAGTGTTTGGCCACAAAGGCACCAAAAGAAATGAGAGTCACAATCCTGCCCCAGTTTGTTACGCCGTCGCTGAAAACATGGACCATCACTCTCGACAAGGATTTGACATCGTCTTCGTTTTTGATGTCCAGTTTGCGAAGCATTCCTGAAGAAGAAAAGCACTCAGGGTCCCATTGTCTAACCCGGGCAGGGCGCGCCCGGCCGCCCACGGGGGGAAGTCGCCGCGCGGCCGCCGAGAGCTCGGGCCGACCCCGCTCGAGAACCCGCATCCCACCCTTTCCGGCCTTGGAGCGCAGCCGCCGTGTCCAAGCGGTCGGGACGGGCGGAAACAGCGCCGCAGCCAGCGCCGGGCCTGGCGCCGCGCCGCCCCGTACCTTGGAAGGCCGTCTCGTGGTTGCGCTGCACGCCGCCCCCGACGCGCC